TTTTTTTTCCCCATAACCTGCTCCAGATTTGGATTTTAGTGCTCCAAATTAGCGTTTTGCAGCTCCGAAAATCTCTCCAAATTCTGTTTTGGCTTTTGCACCCCTGTAGCATATCTCCTTTCAAGGTTGACCCTGTTAGCACTGTTTCTAGGTGCGGCCACTAGATGGCGAGCGCTTGGTTGGCGTCATGAATACTGTCGAGGTATACAGGTCTAAAAAGGTGACGGACCGGCTGACACTTCTCAAGTTTTTTTCATCGGGTTGCACAACTCTCAATTCTGACAGACACCCTCAGAATCACGTCTGTGACAGGTGACACTAGCAACTATATACACAAGTCATGGAGAAAGAAGTATTTGAGGAGGAGAAACTCCCATGTCGTGCCAACGGGCAAGGGCGACGTGATAGTGTCACGGAGCGATGTGGTTTACGCCAACACTCAGCAGATGACGCTTTCAGCCTGTTGCCATTTAGTTGCCATCTTTTACATGCACTTCTATGAACGCGACGCATAAAAATCGTCATGATAGCACCTCGTAAGCTGCAACATTTCTTTTATTTTTGTGTAACGTGAATAGACAGGTGTGACAAATGCTTCAGCAGTAGTTACTAACCAATATTGCCAGAATTACGGCCACAAAACGCCTGAAACAACCTGCTACAAATGGCCTGGAGCAGACGATGCCTAATGCATGCATGCGCTTTTCGCTTTTCGCTCGCACGTTGTGGCCGCGCATGTGTAGGTGGCCTTGGCAATGAAAGTTTTCCCAAGCTGTCACGGCTTTCTTTTTTTTTTTTTTTTTTTCAGTGCTCTCAGCAGTTTCAGCTGCCCCAGCAGGGTTGACCATTTGCGCGCTTTTCATGACTATTTACATGCGCAACTCGCACCACGACAGAGGATAGTGCTTTGCCGAATTTGAGAAATGCTTCATCAGGATGGGGCAGAAATGTGTTGTACCGAATTGCAGCAGCGTTTATGCATCCCGCAAGGAGAAGGTAAATACCTTCAATGTTCCCAGTGACCCGGCGAGGTTGGAAGTGTGGGCTCATGCCATACCAAGGGAAAATCGCACGCTGACACCTCATGACTACGTTTGTGAGAAGCACTCTCGGACAGTGACATTGAACGGCGGCGCCATTATGGCAAGCTTGGTGGCGAAGTTCTCCTTGACAAACCGAAACAACCAGTGTTGTTACCGGACGCTATGCCTTCTATCTTTCCGCGCTGTCCTAGCTATTTGTCAGCTGTTCGCAAGAAAAGAAAATGAACTTCACCTGACGTGAATTACAGATAGCATGCAAGGACAGATGCTTCGGTAGCTCAAGGTACAAACACACCTGCTTCTCGCAAAATTGAATAGATTTAGAATGCATTTCTTGTAGCCTCCTTCTTATGAGTGTACTGCACCGAACTATGAAGAAACAAGCGCTGGTATCTGCAATGATGAAAGACTCTGTGCCACTAGTTCTAGTGACACTGACGTGCTAATGATTGGCACGCAAATCGAGTCTTCACAACCTGATTCATCTTGGATGTGTGTCTTGGATAACTTTTTAGATCAACAAGACATCGTCATGCCATGCGCTTCTAGGAGCCAATAAGACGTAGTGGAGGGAGCTCCGAGCATCTGTTTCATAGAGCTAAAAAAGGCATCACCGGAAACACCGATTTTTATAAACAAGAGCCTCGAATTCACAATCTGCAAAGAGGGTGTGAAGGTGACAGAAAGTGTGCTTCAGCGAGAAGTTAGCAGCACAATAGTGAATTTTCGCACAGGAACCGAGCATGCTATTGACGTCACGCATATGCTCGAGGTCTTCAACAAGAAACCTGTGCTCGTGGTAAAGAGAACCGCTGGCCATTAACACCAAATACTGCATTCTAAAGAAAATATAATATTATACATAATTGGTGGGCTTTAACGTCCCGAACCCACCCACCAAAGGCGCAGTGGTCCAACACAGTATAAGTTTCCTGGGATCAAAGTAATGTTTGCCTCCGTCGACGCGACCGAATTTCAGCGTCATAGAAGGTGTGCCATTTTTGTCGATGGCCCAGAAGATTAGTGCGGCACGTGCAAGAGTTTGTGCAATACACTACGGGTCCACCGAATTCAGAAGGAAAAGTGCCAGCGGATGACACGATAATGACTTCCGTGAGTCCATCTAAGGAAGGTAAAATTGAGGCCTTGTGAAATTGGTATATTGCCTGCTAACTCTCTAAAAAAAGACTTCTAGCAAAAAAAGAAGCTCTGGAAGCTGACTTAGTGAAATGCAAAGGACAGTTGAGAGAAGTGAGCGAGAACAGCTCGGATGACTTGATGTGAATATCAGCTTTTCCAGTGACGCATTGATTTTGTGCTGCTGATGAAATGTGTAAAAGCTGCAAAGGCTGTGTCGAAGCGAGGAATCAATTTCCGTCAAGATTGGTTGTTGCTTTGTCTTCTTTTGCACATTCGGATATCATCAGGCTACCGGTTTCTTCTACCTCTGCCCAGTGTGAAAACCATCAGAAAGTATTTTGTCATGGTTGGGATGCAATGTGACTTTGATGCAGAGTTTTTTTAAGTGTTCAAAGGAAAGCTGGCTTCCAAAACTGACTTCAAGAGACAAGGCATGCTTCTCTTTGACGAAATTTTGGTAAGAGAGTGGAAGAGTGTGAACTCCAAAGCTCTAGCCTACATGGGTCTTGTGAACGTTGGGGAAGGAGATGAGCATTCTTCCGAGCTTGCAAATCACATGCTGGTGTTTGTTTTGTCCTTTTGGGGACAGATATGCACAACCGATCGGTGTATTTGCATTAAATGGAAGTACTAGAGCGACAGTACTTAGCCAGATGGTCCTCCAGGCGATTGTCACGCTTGAAAACACTGGTGCACTAGTTGATTGAATTGTCTGTGCCGAAGGGGCGAGGAACAGAAAGATGTGGACGCAAGTGGGCGTTAGCGGGAAGCTTGGTGAGAACATGAATTTTTTTCGAGCATCCCATAAATGAGGAGTGCAAGGTGTTTGCCTTTTCCGATGTACCTCATCTATTCAAATGCATCAGGAAGAGATTGCTTAAACAGCGTCTTTTCGGGGTGAACGGGCAGTAGGTGAAATGGAATCTGTACATGGTCGTGTACAAGGACGACTGCAAGAACGCAGGAGGCCTGAAGGTTTGCCCAAAATTAACTGAACACCATATATACCCGTCAAAAATTGACCTCATGTGCGTTAAGGTGGTATCGCAAGTCTTCAGGCGGTCTGTGTGCTCTGGTATCAAGTGTGCGCTGACCAAAAAGTTTTGGATGCCCAAAAAGCTGCAGGAACAATCGCCTTCACTGAAAGAATGAACGATCTTTTTTACTCCATGAATAGATGGCATCTAATGAAAGAGGTGCGATACGGTAGTCGTGATCTCACGGTAATCAAAAGCTCAATTCAGTTGCTGGATGACTGGGAAAGGGAGCTCCAGTCGGTCGCAATTATGCAGGAAATTTTTCTGACACAAACAACTGTGGAAGGCCTCCGTGTCACAATGCTTTCTACGCTTGCGCTAACCGAGTACCTGTTAAGCAAGTGCGCTTGCAAATACGTCCTAACGGCTAAATTCAACCATGATCCCCTTGAGAGGTTATTTGGCAAGGCAAGACAGGCAGCCTGTGATAATGACTATCTAGACGTGCCAATGTTCCTGCAATTGTACCACATGCTTTCTGTCTACAGTTCGCTAAAACCACCGAAATTTGGGAACTGAGAAGTTATTGAAGAAGAGCCTGCCCTCGACCTTTCATAGTTTCGCAAGATCTTCCAGAAAGCTTACAGTGACCCCTCGCATTTTGAAAACCTAAAAGTCAAGTTAGACGGACTTGTCAAAACAAGTGATTGGGACTTGGATGATGCGGTCTTGTATTAGATCGCAGCATTTCTGTCAAGAAAGATGAAAAAAATGTTGCCGTGTGAACTCTGCAGAAAGTCGCTTTCTGCTGCGACATCAACGTTGCCACAAGCATCTCTGACAATTTGCAAATCAAGAGGTGGGTTAGCTCATCCAAACACGGGACTCTACGATGTGGACCACCACGAGGTTTTTAGGTGGAACTGTTGATCATGTTCTTCAAAACTTCGACCTCACATTTCCATGCCGCGAGCTCAAAATTGCGTTGTTACCAAAATTCTTCCCTACTACGTGGGAATGCGCATTAGACAACACTGCACAAACGAAGCATGGCGAAACAAGCAGAAAGGGGTCCAGGAGAAGAAGAAGCTGTCAAAGGTATCAAAAGACTGACTTTTAAGAAATAATGGTTTCGATATGAGCAACATTTTTTTTTCTCATTGCGCAAAGATTGTGAATAAGATGTAGAAAACTTTTTTCACGCATCCTCAACTGTACATCAAAAATTAATTGAAAGTTCAGCATGTGTGTGGGTCTCTTCGGTTGTCATGTTCCGTGACAGTGCATGACATTCATGTAGTTGTTTTTTTTTTTTTTCGAAGCAGCTTCCAGCAGTGTTGTTGGTCAAACAGCTACTTGCCACGGCAAATGTGTAAGACATTTGCACCTTTCTCAATTTCGCGGTCATGGACAACGCTGGTATTTCATTCAAAACCAACGGCGCCGGCCTTTCTGCGAGACAAGCTTTTTAATGCTGTCATGTCGAAATTTGCAGCCGACGAGGACTTTGCAGCACAAAAACACACCCTGTTGAATGTGAAGCGCAAACGGCGAATCGAAGCTGAGTGGCCTTGAATGTCAGCGCGATGAGAGGGACGCGCGTTTTTCCTTCTCCGTTAGCGGAGTTTCACATAGAGGGCGCGTAAGTGCCGTGCTCGATTTCAGGACATTTTCAGGGAGCCAGAGCGAGCGCAGTTCACCTCCTCAAGAATTCTCGCTCTGTGACACATGCACACAACGGACATATACCTACTAGCTCAGTTTTGAGTCCTAAGGCAGGGATAATATGTCTGTAATTTTCACCAAAGGTATATCTGTATTTTTGTCTTTCTCTGACCAGACTGAAGGGTGCCCTCCTGTTCATCACAATAGTGCTGATTGGAACGGGCTGGGCCTTCATCAAGCACATTCTCAGTGACAAAGATAAGAAGATCTTCATGATTGTCATCCCTCTTCAGGTAGGCTCTTTGAGGTCTTGTGAAATTAGCTCTGCTCAGACTTTGTGCCATTGTTAGTATTGCTGCTTGTTCGTTTGTAAATGCAGGTCCTTGTGAACTAATTGACATTTTATTCTGACATGATAAAAAAAAAGTGGGATGCACTTCTGACTGTAACCTAAAATAAGTGACAGTTTCTTGACTAGCAAGCACTCCAGAGCAGTGGTTGGCAACCTGCAGGGTGGTATAATGGTATAATGTGGCCCTCGGCCCGGCATCTGAACTCTTCCTCTTCTCCTCGTCACCTCTAATATGAAAGCCAACATTGCCATTTTGACCTTAAATGGCAATTCTATTAAATTATGTTTGTAAAATGCAACTTTGGGACATGCGTGCTGAAGATAACCATCATTTCTATATTTCCATTGTAGCTTTTTACGTTGTTACGTATTTCCAGCTTTTACAATTTTTCCCTCTGCTTGCAAATCTCCTGTTCATTTATGTGGCCCCTGCCTTGTAGGCTTTAAAGGGACCGACAACTGCCCAGAACATGAACCGAGATGACTGCATGGATGGAAAGATTGTCCCTCATAGTGTCTCAAAACAGCCACGTTTTTCTCGTGAAAAGTGGAGTTGCATTTTTATTTCTTCATTGAAAAATTGCAAAAATAGCCTGTGTCATTGCCAGGTGGCAGACACTTTAATTAACCTACCTGCCCTGTCATGTGACCGTAAACTAGTGTACGGGGTCAACAATTTTCCTGTTAGTATTGAAATATTCTTTACTTCTTTATGATAAGAGATATTACTCCATAAAACTGTACATATAGGCCTGCATTAGTAGTACACATTAAAGTAGCGCTGCCTTTGCATGACAAACATCCCATGCTCGTCAGCTCATCTTGAGAAACTTTTCTGCATGCTCATGAAACCATGCATGCAGTTTCTGGGTCGCTAATTTTTTGGAGCGACGTGGTTATTCTACCAACAGTGTGTCTGGGAAATGATGCGTATTGCTTGTCGGCAGGGCTGCAGATATGCGCAGAGGTGTTTTTGATGACTTTGCTTGCCTCATGTGTCAAGAGAGTAACGATGAAGAGACAAGTCATCCGTGACACAGGCGCAACAATCTTGAGTGCAGACCCACGCAACCTAGTACAAATACAGAGAAGCTGTATTAAGCCGACAATAATACAGTCGAATCTCGATAATTCGAACTCGAAGGGGCCTGAAAATTTAAAAGAATTTCGCATTAATTAAAGCTAAGTAAACAGAGGGCTCCCCATGCAGTGGCGCATGTGCATTGAGCTAACACACGAGGGGCAAGTTTCAGAAAACTTACATTTATTCACAAATCACAGGACATTCGTTAATAGTTAAAGTAATCGGGGACGTGCGTCTGCACACATTTGCCTTGCAGCGAGTCAACCAATTTCGCACGCAGCTTGCAATGCATTTCTACTTTTCATTTTCTTCGCGCGCAGCGTTGAGGTGTCGCAGGTGCCGCCGCGGGATTGGGCGGGGTGCTGAGAGCATTTTCGGAGCACGGTATGTTTGAATTAACCGTCCCAAGTGCTTGCGCGTTCAAATTATTGGCCGTTTTCGCCCATTGAAGTACGCATAGCTTTGACGGGACCTCATCGTGAGTTCAAATTGACCGGAAGTTTGAATTAAGCGTGTTCGAATTAATGAGATTCGACTGTATGAAGTTGGGCGTGTCAGTAAGACATAGCTAATAATGTAGCTCGTAAAATATGTGAAACACAGGACAAGGGAAAGGACAAAGGGGGGCGCTTGTCCCTTCCCTTGTCCTGTGTTTCACATATTTTATGCATTACGTCATTAGCTGTATATAGCCACATCGTCTCATTGTAAGAACTTGTTATTTTCTAAAACAGTTGTAAAGCTCAAAATAAACATGGTTAAGCATAGTTACAGGAATTCCTGCAAAAGCAAAACGAGGACAACATTCACAAGTCTCCAGAAAGGGTGCCGGCATTGCTATCATTTCTCAGCATTGCTGGATGAAAGGGCAAATCTGTGTTCAGAGCCTTTCAGTGCAAAAAATGCTGCTTATAAGCTGACTACGGGCTTTTTGAATTAACTACGGCAGCTACAAACACTACGAATGGTAAGCTTTCTGTCACGCCTACAACAACTGAGTCGAAAAAGTTCAGTTGTTGGTCCCTTTAACAACTCAGTCCTCCACCTCCAAAAGTTGCCGGCCAATGCTTTAGAGGAATCAAAGACTCCGGTTACTTAACTTAGAAACGATCTGTGTACAAAAACAATTCATATGAGTAGTTGTGGTACATTGAAATCGCGATAAAATCTTAATGGTATTGAACTTGGCTACCTTCAACCCTTGAACGATATCTAGTGTGGCTAGTCTAGCTATCCTATTCGAGGAATTGCATCAAGCGTCTTACAGAAAGCGTCTGCACACGGTGGTGGCCATAAGAAGACTGGTTTATTGATACAAACGGAACGTTAGCATACAATGTTGCCAGGCGTTGCTCCAGGTGGGGCACAGTGTTGTCCTGTTGACTGCCCATTGCATCCTCCTCTCTTTGAAGGCGAAACACACAAAATGCACTGAGAACACAAAAAACGCTGCACGTAAGTTCCACTTTGGATACTTCTTTTTTTGAATGCGAAACGCACAAAATGCATTGTGAATGCCAGTTGGCAACAGTCGACTTTCCTAGGCTGTTTCACTCTGCTGTAATCCGTGAGTGTAGGCCAGGCGAAATGGTGGTCTTTGGGGTCTGGTGGATCGCCGGCATAAATCCTCGGTGCTAGGCAAGCTTGCCGAGTCTGCTGGTGGTCTGTCTTGTGTAGCTTGCTGGGGTTCTGGCTCGTGCGGTATGACGTCGCCTGTAGCTGACTCAGAAGTGTCGATGCTGTTGTCAGTGTTGTAACGCGGGAGTCGACAGAATGCTTCTGGCTTTTTGCCGAGATGTTGTCTATTTCGACGGAACATCCGGCCATCTTCTGTCAGAATGGTGTATGAGCTTGGCGCTACGAGATATTGGACTTGCGCCTTTATTTGCCAACTACCATTGTTGAGAACACGGACGACGTCTCCCTTCTGCAGTGAAGCCAGCGATCTTCTTGTGGTCTTTGCTTGAACATGTTTTTGCACAGGCATTGGGGGTGATGTTGAGAAATCTGGAAGCAGCGCTCTGAGGCTTTGTCCCATCAGCAGTTCTGCTGGGGACAGGCCATCCTCAAGAGGGCACACTGTAGCTCAGAAGGTCCAAATAAAAATCTTCTTTACCCTTCTTCGTTTTGTCTAAAATCCGCTTCACCACTTGCACGCCCTTCTCGGCGAGTCCATTAGATCTGGGAAAATGCGGACTTCAAATAGTATGCTTCAAGTCATAGTGAGCTGCAAAATTTTTGAACTCTTTTGATGCAAACTGAGGGCCACCATGGCTGCGAAATTCCAGTAGTAACCCAGGTCTTGCAAAGATCTTGCGTAGTTTCTGAATGACGGCTGTTGCTGAGGTCTCCTTCATTGCCCCGCCGCGGTGGTCTAGTGGCTAAGGTACTCGGCTGCTGACCCGCAGGGCGCGGGTTCGAATCCCGGCTGCGGCGGCTGCATTTCCGATGGAGGCGGAAATGTTGTAGGCCCGTGTGCTCAGATTTGGGTGCACGTTAAAGAACCCCAGGTGGTCTAAATTTCCGGAGCCCTCCACTACGGCGTCTCTCATAATCATATAGTGGTTTTGGGACGTTAAACCCCACATATCAATCGAGGTCTCCTTCAGGTGTTCGACAGCAGGAAAACTGGAGTAGGTGTCATAGACAACCAAATAATTCTTTCGAGCATGTTGAAAAATATCTGCATCAACTCTAGCCCACGGCAAATGAGGGACGGTGTGCGGAAAAGGGGGCTCGTCAGGTTGCCGATAAGCAAACTTTCTGCAGACGTCACACCTGTCTGTAAGATGGGCAATATCTTCTGCCATTCCTGGCCAGTACATCAATTTACGGGCCCTCGATTTGCATTTTTCTAAACTGAGGTCACCTTGGTGCACTCGTTGCAGCACTTCTGTGCGCATGCTTGCAGGTATTGCAACTTTAGTTCCCTTTAGAAGTATGTCTTTGACAACAGCAAGCTCTGCTGTAAAGGGCTTTAGCTGACCCTCTACAGGAATGGAGGACTGCAAACTCGAGATCACATCTTAAAGCATTTCATCACTGGTCGTTGCTGCCTGCAGACGAGAAAGGGTGGCTAGGCCAACACTTGCGGTAAGGGCACCTACAGCATGAACGTCAACATCTGTTGTGCCTTTTTCTGGGAGTTCCTGAGATGGGATTCTTGACTAGGTATCAGCAACAACGAATTTGTGGCCTGGAACATACTGCAAATAATATTCATATTTCAGCAGCCGAAAAAACAGGCGCTGCAGACATGGTGGCATGTCACCTATTTCTTTCTTTGAAATAGCCAATAATGGGCTGTGATCAGGTTTATTAGCAATGTATCCTCCAATCACATAGTTATTGAACTTTTCACAACTGAACGTTATGCCCAATGCCTCCTTTTCTGTTTGAGCGTTCCTTCTCTCAGTTTCGGTAAGTGTTCAGGACGCGTAGCCTACAAGACGCCAATCACATCCATGTTGTTGAAAAAAGACCGCTCCGAGTGCAAACACGGACGCGTCCGTTGACAGTTTCGTGGAAAGCTCGAAGTTAAAAATGGCCAAGACTGGCTTCTTTGTCAGCATCAATTTAAGCTGCTCCTATTCACGCTCGTGAGTTTGCATTCGCTCGAAAACTGTATCGTTTCTTATCAAGCTGCGCAAGGCCTCAGTGTGGGCTAACAACAGCAGCAAGTATTTGCTGAAATAGTTCACAGCCCCAAGGAAACGCTGTAAGTCCTTTTTAGTCTTTGCACAGGGTGATTTAGTATACACTTTATCAGGTCGGGATTAGTCTCAATACCTTTGGAGCTAATTTTATCACCCAAGAAAGTGATTTAAGTTTGTCCAAAAATACATTTTTCTACATTC